GTAGGCGCAGTCCCAGGTGCTCTTGTACTTGTGCGCTTCCAGCCCCTGCAGGGTGGGAAAAGCAGGGTCAGAGGCTGCAGCCAGGGGTGCATCGGGGCAGATTTTGTAGGAGAGTTAAGAGCTGGGGGTGCGCCAGGAGAGCTGATCCTCCTTCACTGCTGCAGGCCACCAAACCCATCAGAGATGCCCCCGTCTCCATGCAAACACTTGCCAGCAGCCCCCCCAGCCTGGCTGCAAGGTGGCAGCGTCCCCAGGCACCTCCCAAACCTCGCTGGCATCGGGCACCTGCTCTGGGGGCTGTAGGTAACAGCTCCCCAGCAGTGGGTGACTCCAGCCCACCAAAGGCAGAGCGGTCCCACACCGTGCCCCGGTGCAGTACCTGCATCCTGGTCTTCACCACATCCAAGGGGGTGTTGCCGAAGACACTTGCAGCTCCAGCGAGGGCTCCAAACACCCCCGTGACAAAGGGGTTGATGACCTTGTTGGGATTGTCCCCTGGGAAGGAGGAGAGGTTGAGACTGGAGTGGTGGTGTGGGGACGAAGCGCAGCATCCTCAAGGGAGCCCACCATCCCGCAGGGAAGGTTCTAGATCTGGCTGCTCGTGGTCAGGGCTGCTGCTGCGCTGAGCCTGGGACCAGGGTCTTTGGAGAGGACTGTCAATAGCACCAGCCCTACAGAGCCCACACAGTACTAGGAAGCTCAGGGTGGGAGCACAGGTGATGGTATAACACTGGGACCCTTCAACCCTACAAACTGGGGCTCCCTAGCCTAGCTTTCATCTTCCTCCATCATGAGAGAGTGAGCCATATGCTGGTAGAAAGCCAAAGCCAGGCTCCCAAGGATGGAGGGAGGAGGACAAGGGCACTGTACCTTTGTACCAGTTCTTGAGAGAGGTCATGACGAAGAAGCGGATGGCCTGGTTCGATCCTTGCTTGAGGACAGTTGCGGTTAAGCCTTGATAGGTCCCCCTCAGTCCTGCAGCAAGAGAGGGTGTTGCAGGGGAGCAGCAGCCTCACCCAGGCAGAGAAAAACCTCCCCAAGCCACTGGTCCCAGTCTGTACCTGTCCCCCACCTCCCACCCCATTCCTGCAGTGTGGGAGCACCCTGGGGCTCAGGGTGCCATTTCCCCGGGACTCACCCTGCTCCCGAACGATCTCTCGAACACCGTGGAAGAAGCCGCGGTATTTGGGTTTGGGGGAGCACTGGTCATGGATAAACTTCACCTGCGGGGAGACGACATGCTTGTCCTGGCTGAGCCAATGACCCCAAAGGGCCACTGGTCACCTCTCACCTTGCTCTAGGGACAGGCCCAAGATCAGAGCTGACTCACGTGGCCAGGCAACACCGGGTGAGACCACAGGGGAAGCCTGTGCCCATGGCCAGCAGTGCATTTTGCAGAAGAAACCACAGGAAACTGTCTCTGAAAGCAACCCCGTGGGTTTTACAGGACTGAAATGGGTGACTGGATGGCTCCTGGGTGGGGGGCTCTTCCCTGGAGTGGGAAGAGAGCCATGGCCACTGGACCTGATCTCTACATGGGGCTTTCCAGCATCAGCTCTTCCCCCACAAAACAAGCGGGAGTAAACCCACATGGCCCTCAGGTCCCCAAAAGCTGAGCATCCCTGGCTCTAGCCCCCTCCCAAACCAGCCCAGGAGGGGTGCTAGAGGCAGGAGGATGTGCTGGTGGTTGCCTCCCACCCACCTTCACTGTCTCCATAGGACAGACAACCACCACGGCCTCGGCCACGCCAGCTCCCAGCCCGCAGATGAGGCCTCGTGTGCTGTCCAGCCGCCCCTGCTCGTCTCTCATCTGGTTGCTGAGGAACTCAAACATCCCAAACCTGTAAAGGAGTCACCATGCCAATGCCTGGGCACCTGGCTGAGGAGCTGCACCCCCCGCTTGGGGTCTGTTGCCCGGAGCAGCTGTCCACCTTGTGGGAGGATCCTCCTCGTCCAGGAAAGCACCTGGCTTCGGCAAAGTGCTTCTGGGGACTCGAAGAGCAACCTCCCCCCCTTCATTTCCTGCTACCTGGGTTCCCCCCAGCTCACCCCGTACCTGGGGTGACACCTACCTGACAGCGGCCTTGGGGATGGAGCCATACACCAGCGAGCTGAGCCCCCGGTACAGCCCCCGGATGCCATGGTCACGGACAGTCTGCTTCACACAGTCCCCTGCGGCAGAGCACAGCGGCGCTGCCACCGAGGGCCACTGTGCCACCCTCACTGCCTGCCCCACCAAACCCCGCTCACCCCCCAGCTCCAACCAGGCTCCCTGGGAGCCTCCGAATCGGGCCAGCGGGTCAGGGCCGGGCACCAGGCGTGTGCTCACCAATGCCCTTGTAGCGCGGAGGGTTCGCCTTCTCGTCCAGCTGCAGCTGCGTCTTCACATACTCGGTGGGGAATGTGATGCAGATCTCGATTCCTCCGGCCAGGCCACCTGGGCGGGAG